AATACGCAAAATGTAAGCTTAGTTGGGGAGAACGTCTGCTCATCATATTTGCAGCATTTACACTGAGAAAGGTGTGCTTAGATAACTTCCGCTGTTACCTCCTTTGATTTTTCCATTTACCTGAAAATAAAAGTCAATATTGCGATTACTACATTTAGCTTAAACCATCGCTTTTAAAAGTAAGTAGGCGTTTTTTAATATTACCTGATTTCCTTTATTCAATATACGCCTCTAGACACGGTATGTCAAATTACGAAAGTTAGGTTTCGTAGCTTTGTTTATAACGTTACCAACCTTTTTAATGACAGTGGGCTGGAGAACCCCACCATAATCACAGCTACAGAAGTAAATACTTTATAAATGGACCTTACATCATGATTTCGTAGAAGACATAGGGCACAGTGTCTGAAATGCAAGGTTCAAGTCCACTTCAGGTTTGAGAACAGTAACAACTTCGAATCACCCTGAAGGTGGTTAACCATTTTAGCTGTTTAAAAAATTAGAGTTAAGTACGTGATCGCAAAAATATCCCCTTATACCTATCGTCCCTTAAGGGTGCTTCTAACATCTAAAAGTGACCTTCATTCGCTATCGGAAACTCTAGTGTGTAGTCATAGTTTGGTGAAACGATTTGCAGTCGAGATTTTTTATTAATTGTAACAATATTTAGGATTTTCGTACACAAGTTGATAAGTTCCATTGATGATTATTGAAATTAATAATTATTTGCAAGTACTTACCGAGCCCTTTCCACTGACGAGTCAACATCTCTTTAACAAATTCTTTAGATAATAATTTAAAGCAAGTATGCAGAATTTCACATTTATTCCTATGGGATAGATACAGTTGTCGCCTTTTTGTCAATAGGAGATGAGGAAAGGAAGTTTGAGGCATGTAAAGTACTTAAAATGGATGGCATTTAATTAAGTTAGTAGCTTGGCTGGAGGGAGTGGGGCAAAGTCATCAAATATACTGAAAACTGAGAATTGCGGTTCCATGCAACCAACTTTGCTGACAGTTGTAAAAAAAGATCTTTGTCAGTTTTCTTTGCATCCCTAAAGAATATGTAAGACACAGAAAATGGTACTCACCTTTTCGGTTTATTACTGGCGTTTTATTACTTTGACCATATCTTCTCAAAAGTTGCACGGGATTCTGAGAGTCCTCATAAGTATCTAGGAAGGTTACAATAGAAGCATTCCAACTTACCACATTCCTGAAGTTGACAGAATTCAAATAATGACCATCCATCCGAAGTATACACAGGCTCTAAATATTGTGTAGTGTTTTTGAATGCACATAAACAACTTCGCATTACTCATGTGTTTTGGATTGCGACTATGTTGTCGTCTTTCAACAAACGGACGACGGGAAATCTAACTGCTGTTGAATTTTGCTAAAGGAAATTAACCAATTGGAAATACGGCAGTGTTACTTTAATGCGTATCAGGTTTTTGAGCAAAAATTAACAGCCTGTATATGTACCCATATTTCAAAAATTCAGAATAAACTGTTAAATGAGCTTCAGTTCAACGAACAGCATTTGCTAGTAGAGACAGACAGACTTGACAACAAAGATTTTACAAAATAACGTAGACGAACTACATGTCAACAGTTCAAGCAACAAATTCGCTAATCTGATAACTTACTGCACAACGTCTATATTTAAGTATGAAGCAGGGGGATGACTACTTACCTATGCGTTAGGACAGTTATGCAATTGCGAACAATATTCAGACAGGATATCCAGTGTGTTTCAGAATTGAATTTCGAACATCTGAATATCCCTAAATTCCTGGATTTAAATAATGAAATGATGTCATCACTGAAATCACACTATGTTTGGAAGCGAATATTACCTTCACTTTCCATTTCCACTATAATCCCTCGATTACCTAAAGCCAAGATGACATTATTCAGTGAATAAGATGTAAGCGCCCTTAGCACCGGTTTCTTTAGGTACATGCTTGACACATGTTTTTTCGTTAAGTACACGTGCCCAACATAACGCTGAACTGCCTGCTTGGCCACAGCATATCCACAGCAAAAGGACCGTTCAATCTTAAGCATATAGGATGCAAAGGGAGATGCACTAAATCCTTCTAGTGGCCCATGCAGGTTGACGTTATCAACTATGTGTTTCAGGGAATGAATATTGCAAACAGTGTTTTCACTTCCGAAACAATCCTCATGTTGCAGTAAGAAATCGTTTAAATCTGTCCGGGCAGCATCCAAAAGCAGACGTCTGTATTTCGTACGCGACAGTGAGTATACTACTAGGTAGTCTATGTGAATTAGAGCACAGAGGCGATGGGCAGTGTTCCTGAGTAGGACGGGACCCAAATATCATAGGGAAAGTTCATACCGTTGCCTTCCATTGGCTAACCTTATCTAACGACCAACATTTCCTCTAGAGATCAGAAAGAGTGTGGTCCATTATTTATATTTGCTATCACTTAACCATCCATTTGCTTTTCTCGCCGAGCTGCAAAGCCTCGCCGAAGGAATACCAACTTCTTAACAATATCAAGGTATGTAAGATGCATGGGCTGCAAGGGAAATTATTTAACCATGTCGTGTTAAGTCCTCAAGACAAGTTCAGTCCGGATGGTGACTTGCTTGAACCTTACCACGGAATGTACTATCATTTCTCAGGGTATGGTTACCATTAGGAAATGTCATCCTTCCCTCCAAACGGCTACCGATGACTTCAAACTTATTACAACCTATTTTACCGGTGTAAGTTCTTGGAAAAAGTAAAAAAATATGTATTGTCAAACTTTTTTACATAAGTGTGATTCGTTTTCACTCAATCTCAGCTGCAAAATACAAACCACAAGCTTTTTTAAATGAGTGATCCAACATATTTTCTACTTTAAAATATCATACTCCGAGGTTCATTGCATCAAAACCATTCATAGATTCAACAATCAAAAGTGGTTATTGGTAAATAACTGCATTCAAGATAATGCGTAATGAAATGTCTTCCCATCTTGAAGTATTCGTCTCACTTACTAAATAATTGGACTTAATTGCATCCCTAAATGCGAATTTCCAGGCAACTGGATATTCATAAATTCTCTCTGCATATGCAAGTAATTGGAGCTACTAGCCGTTAAATCACTCACTGTTGTCTATTACGGTCATTAACAATCTGTGATACGTTTATTCATGGTCCTTCAACAGGTATATTCGTAGTTGTTAAGCAGTTGAGAAACAAATTAGTACTGCTATTTGGCGTGTGGTGAGTGTCCCAGTGAGCTCTGGACTAACTGTTGTGATTCATAGGTCTATACACTTGACTTTCAGCTAGTGAGTATCATTCTCAAGTCCCGTTCCATCTAATTCCATCCGGGCGACTATGTAATTCCACTAACCCTCACACTAAATGTAGTTCGTAAACTGGTAGGTAAGGTTATTTTGTGTGGATGAGTTGAAAATAAGGAGCCTAGGTTGAGCGGCTTCTGCGGACTCTTCTTTTTCCGTACTGACTAGATGGGTTTTCTCCGTATAACAATATAGCCGTCCAAGTTGCTGCACTCTTGTCACAGGTGCTACATTTTTTTTGAAAAATGGATTTCCAAAAATTAAATTCCTTTAGTTTTGTATACTTATGGTGATCGGGATTTATTTGATTGCTTTCAAAATGTTGCACTGGGTTACTCAGTGTGAGAAATGAATTTTAGAAGGTTCGTTGTATTCTTTAGTAAACCGGCTCACTAAGATGTTTTGAGAGCAAAGAATAAAATTGTTGGTAGCATAGAGTTTTGTTGGTTGCACATTACGAAGAGTTCTTCATCATTACTTCAATTATTGTTTGGAAATTATGGAAATTAAATTACATGTGCAAAGTGAAATGTGCTGATTATAATGGCGGGAGCGAATCGCATACCAAACATACGATTCGCCCCTGTAAAATGTAAGATGCTGCTACAGGACTGGACTATGTCAACTCCTAGCTTAGTGATAGGGAGTGAAGTGATAGAACATGTTGACCAATTCACCTATTTGGGAAGTTGTATCAGCACCAACGGACTGATTGGCGACGAAATCTCAGCACAGATTCAAAAATCTCGTGCTGCTTTCGCTGACTTACACCATCTCTGGCGTAGGCGTGACATCCGGCTATCAACCAAGGGACGCCACACTCCAAGTCGCCATACCATGTAGCAAAGCTCGAGAAGATAGTAGAAATGCATAATAAAGACAGTAAACAGAGGTGTGAGACAAAGGAATAGTAATAGCGAAGAACAATATAGTTTCATTGGCAATTATATAGTTAGGAAGTAATGCCGAAGGAGGATACAAATACATCATGGGAAGTCACAAAACGGTAGAACAAAGGAAGGGAGGAAAGGAAATGGGAAAACGTGACGTAACGCTCAAGATAAAGGCGGAATGTGGATATATCTGTGCCACTGTACTTGACCGTGATTTATTCCGCGTAGTTCCCATACATAGATTTCTTAGCACGTACACCAGCCAACCAACTTAGATGGATTCGTGTCGCGTCGGATATCTATCTTGCCGACAATCTTTTGAATTGTGGGGTAGTTAGACTTAAGTCAGTTTCTGCATAAAAATAATAGGTATAATTAAGTATAAAGCTTGATGGAGTCTATTTTTCTTCAGCAAAATGTTCGTCACAACCCACGGAATCAATAAGATTCTGTAGGTGTTAGCTTTATCATAGTATTATCGCAATCTTGCCATCTCTTGTAATTAAACCGAGTAAATTCCCTATTTCCTGCTCGGGTGGTAGTATTATTGGGGCTTAATTGTGAAGTGATCATTCAAATACACCTGAATATCTGAAATCAGTGACCTTACTCGTTGCTTTTTCAATTGGTCATTATAATTTGCTAACTTTAAAAATGTAACCACATGGAATAATCGAGTTTGCCACCTTATATCTTGTATTCCATGTTTTATAGAGCACAGTGTTCTCTCCATATGATGTTTCTGAATTTCAATTTCGTTGTTGAAAATAAATCTTCCGAATGAGCATGATTACAATGCATTTTCTCCCTGGGGAGAAAGCTATTAGTACCAAGTCGATAGCTGATGGGATCCTAATTCTTACAAATTATCGGATCATATTTTCAACCAGAAAGCCTCACAGTTCATGGAGTATACCCCTTACATTAGTATGGAAAGCTGAAGCATTCGAAATGATTCATATCAAAATTATAACAAAAATTGGCATATCTGTTACGTAAGTTCTATTGTGTTTTGATATTCATTCCTTATCCCATGTAGCTGGTCATTTTTGGATGAAATTGCATGTGACGCAGGATACAATCATATTTCATCATTAATTGATATACCTAAAGATATTGATTCTTTGTTTGCTTGTAAATTTCGTTCATCTCTGGAAGCCAACATTCCAAGCCACCCTTTCCTTTTAAGTAAGTGTAGTTTCTTTTCACTAATTTTTATTTAACTTTAGGTGCCTGTGAACTGTTGCAAATAAATGGTTAGTTTACATTCACTTGTCTTTAATAGTTCTAATTATACAGATGTAGATAGTGCATTGGATACAGCCTTAGTGTGTTTTGAATTTCGTCGAATGAACTTCGATGAGGCATGGAAGATAACAGATATTAACAATGAATTCAAGTATTTAATGATATTTTATTCTCCCTATGGTCCATTGTTTTAGAATTTGTTCCACATATCCTAGACATCATATTGTACCACGGTCGATCAGTGATAATGATGTCATCAACATGGCGAGCTTTCGAAGTCACAATCGATTTCTAACAGTTGTTTGGCGGTAATTTAATGTAATAATTTAATGTTTCTCTTACAGTTCTCAAGTCACTGGAGCTGTTTTGCTTCGTTGTGCTCAACCTTGTGTCGGACTTATGTGTTCACGAAATGAATATGATGAGAAATTCTTACGAACTGTTCTTTCTTGTTGTCCAAAGAAACCTGTTGCCAATCCCAACAAAGGTGTGTATATGCATAAATTTTCTGTCTATGTGCTCAGTGTAATTGTGATTTCGCTGTTTTCTTGTTCCTGACCACTTGTTATTTTCGCATGTATCATAAGCATTTCATTCAGAGTTCATTACGTAAACTTGCATAATTTTAGCAGGCTGTATAATATATGTTTGCCATCACATATAATATGTTCGATTAATATCGAGCGAACACAATACGCATATATATCCTATGGCTAGTGTAAGTGATATCCTCTGTGCTAATATATTACTTGTACTTGTTAGGTGGAAATATGGTTCATTGGCTTAAACATCCGATTTTTTATCAGATTTGTGAGTTTGAATCGCACTTCGCCCACTTCAGCTTGGGCAACTGGGTGGGGTCATAGCCCTATCTCAATAAGCGGGAACATAGCCCAATGCTTGGGAAGTCTACTTTAGGCAACTAAGTTTTAAAAATAACTAATAACTCGTCAGTGTATGTTCGTAAATATCTCCATTGAAAAAATAAATAAAATCGGCATATTGGTAAATTAGAAATACCACTATTGTTCTTGGTAGGTGTGAGTTTATGATCTGGCTCAGTTCTCTGTAAGATGATACTACCGAGCTGATTTTCACCAATTCCTAGTTTAAAGTAGAAATTCAAATGTTTGAATAGGTTGGTCACTTCACTTATTTGTGAAGTTGCATCAACTCTAATCGACTGGTTGCTGACGTCATCTGAGAGCGCATACCAAAGGCTCCTTTAACTTTCGCAAACTTTTATCATATTTAATACACGAGGATTTACACTTTCCTGTCAAGACGCATATGTGTTTCAGTGTGTTTCTATCCGTTTAACTTTATGATTATATGAGTCATGGCGACGGACATTTCGTCTTTCGGTAGAATTAGTTGTGGATTTAAAGCAAGAGTCTTCAGTCACCTGATGAAGTTGTTTATTACAGATGCCACACTGTTATCTTCGATTAGTAAGATTAAGTTGGAAGAGTTACAAGGAGTTAGGTTAAAATATGACATCAATCTATGAATTCGTTTACTGTTGGTCTGAGTTGCTGAAGTGTCAGTTGCCTGACTGAAGTCATCGGAAGCTTAATAATCAGTGGTCATCATACAGTGTCAGTTATTTCTTTTACTGACTGTTCACTGGGATTCTTCACGTCAATATTATCGTTGTCCTAAGTTTTTACATTTTAATATACAACGAATGGATTTTATGGACACACATTGTAATTGTGCGCGTGATTAGCTTACGTCTTTTATTTTCTTGTCTCATTAGCATAAAAGTTCTTTTTAGTTGTAGTCGGCTCCTGTATTGAAGTGGAAGCTGCTTACATTCCATTGAATATTACGAAATAACAGGTTGTTGAGTAATAATCAGTGATTTATGAATACATTACTCGATACTTCCGCACGCATTATACTGCTTTTAATGATTAAATGCCTAAATTGTGAGAAATGTTTCTATTCTTACCGCCTATATCTAACGCAGTATAAATGGTTCAGGAAGCTCACTTATGGATAAAGTTGTCACACCTTGCAATAAAGTCTACTTCTGAAAGTGATTAAATCTGGTTACTACCAATTTAACGGACGAATATGGTGTTTTTTTAATTTGTTAATCTCTAGATACTCATCGGTTAATGATAGTGGATGCAAGAAGTCGTAGTAGTGCACAATTCAATCGTATACGGGTGGTGGTTTTGAATATCCTGAATATTACGATCAAGCTGAAGTTGTTTTTATGGATCTACCTAATTTGCATACAGTGCGTTCAAATTTTGAAGCCCTCACCAACTTATTTGCCGGGAAATGTCCGAAGTAAGTTTTCCACTGTGTCTTTTTAATGAAGTTACATGTACTACGCTGCTTATTCAGAAGCAGAATCGCTTCATTTTACTGTACGTGTGTTTATTCCTTTTAATATAATGGCCAGTTAAATTATTAAGAGTGTAAGACGTTTTAGTGAGAAAATAGCTCGGTGTATTGCTTGAGTACAAAATATAAGATCACAAATGATAGAATAATGTTTAAATCGCCAATCTTCAAGCACTGGTGATTGCACATATCCTAGTGTGGTTAATTTTTAGCTACGTCATGTGACTGGTTGACTGAAGCACTCAACTTCCAACCAGTAACTCCCGACTTTGAATCCTTCACCTACATCAGTTGAGGCACTTGTATATCATTAGCCCTCACACTATAAGTATGCGTGTATATAAATCCGTCAAGGTGATTGAATTCCTCGCTCCTTACTGCATTGTATGATATTTATGAAGATCCCGCAGATTTTTGCCCCGAGCACTAAACTTTTAAAAATCTGATGCTGCCTTACGTGAAAATAAGCACTAACAGTTATATGTTTTGTCACAGTTCATTGGGAACTCACTGTCTTATTCTCTATTTTTGACTTTGTCATTATACAGTTAGTGATTTTATTTTACGTGAACACTGCTTCAAAATCATTCATACTAAGGAGGATACCACAATACCTCAAGTGATTTCATTCTTATCATCTATCTTAAACTTGTGGATTATAATAGGGTTAACTATTCTATTCGTATACGATTGGTGGATGGTGGCTAGCAGTGGAATCCAGGATGCGCATTTCGTCCTATTTGGGACTCGTCGGCTGGATGTACCTGCATTTCTCAGTGAGTGATGATGTTCCCACTGAGGCTCGAACCCAGTGCCCATAGTTTCAAACGCCAAAGCGTTATCCACTAGACCACTTGGGCCACGAGAGCACCTCCTGTGCAATGGGTCATATTAATTATTGAACTGCTAGCCACCATCCACCAATCGTATACTAATTAAATGTCCAGACATCGTCGAAGCATCTGCACAAGAAGCCGACATGTCAACCTGAGACCGAGCACTTCGGTCCAATCAATCGACGGGAAAATCAAAATTCAATTCATTAACTATTTTATGATTATTTACAGTTGTATTTCATATGGCATTGCATTGTGATTAAGAATATTTTGTGAAGAATAAACACTTTCCAAATCCTTTTGAACTGTTTACACCAAATTACAACTTTTTTCTGTTTTAATGATAGTGAGTCACTATTTTCACTTTTTGAAATTATCTGCCATTTTATACAAAATTTAATCTACTTCAGTGATATTTGCTCAGAGATTGTGAATGATAGCTTCACCAAAATATTTCGCAGTTGGAAATAACAATCTATATTTATTTATTTGGCAGATAAATTTGTTGGATTTTAATGTCTTTACTGTCTTCTTACGTCATTGTCGCATACTTTACTACTGCTACTACTTTGTGACTTTGATTAATACATGTTATTAAATTATTCTGAAGGTGTAGCATCGATATGTTATAGTAGTTTTCCATTTGGGAATTTCCGTGTTAATTATACTACAGATTACTGCTATGGTAGGGGTGTTGTCATATTGATTGTTAAGGAGTTTATAACTCCGTATCTTCATTTTATGCATAATCACACAACTTTCTATCTAGTATTATCTTTTCAGTTGTACAAAGCTTGTTCACTCGTAAAGGTAAGACTGTGATGTTAGGGTCTCGTATTAGACACATCTTGCAGTCTTATACGTGACCGGATTGATTGTCAGGCTACAACTTTGCACAGAAGTGCAACAGTTCAACTCGTCATATTCTATTTAGCTCACGAGAGTCGTGGAAAAGAAAACAAAATTCAAAAGAACCATAACGAACAGAAATAGTCAGGAGGAGGAAAGAATAATTACATGAAGAAAAAGATGACTTAATTGATCTTGGAAATTACATATGGTGAATGCATCTAAGTCCTTGAGAAAGGTTTCGAGCAGTATCACCAACAGTTTCCAGCCATTAGTTCCTGCTATCGCTAGGTCCCGATGTAGGCAGTCTACATCTCCTTATGTGGCCTCAAACTAACAACCAAATACTTCATGTATTGATGTCAGATTTTGACTTGACCAACCGTAATTCTTTTCCAACCTTATTTTATGTCAGGTAACATCACTCGTCGGGGAAGACAGTGGCTCGCCATACGTAATATGTGTCCCAGCCGTCTTAGTCAATGCAGTAATCTGATACTCAATGGTTTGCTTAGATATTGGGTCACTTGATTTTTTATATTTCCTCTTCCATGCTAGAATCTGTATGAAAATATTTTAGGGCTGATTAACTGTCTTTAATATTTTGTATTCACATTGTAGCTGGTTCTCGTCACTGGAAAAATCGTCCTGGTTAAATAATATTGGTCAACTTTTGAAAACTGCCACTGAAATAGCTATCGCCTTGGAGGAAAACGCTCGTCCTGTCATGGTTCACTGTACAGATGGTTGGGATCGTACGCCTCAAATAAGTTCTCTGGCTCAGCTGTTAGCAGATCCTTTCTATCGAACAATCCAGGTAAGCAGTGGCCAGTTCTGATTATTTGTAACTAATTAGAACATTAGATTGAAAAGAACAAGAAGTTCAGCAAAGATATCTTTCCGGCGATTTCATTCTCAAAAGCTGTACAATCACACTTATATACATTAGTTTATATGGATACAATTATTATTTATTTAATTTTACATAGTAACGAGGGTGATAGTAATTTTCAACTTGATATGAAAGTTTGATGGTACGAATACAGATTACATTTTACATTTACATTACATTTTACAATTGTATTCTAATCCTGTCTAATTTTTTGTTTCTGTGCCTCTTTTAATCTATATTCACACCTCCTAACTTACATTTCAAGTTGAAAATTTTGATTTCAATTTGATTCCATGCTCATTTTGTTCACACCTGTAATTCGTTTTATCCCTGCGTTTCTAAGCCTCTTGTAATTCATATCAAGTTGAAAACAATTATCACCTTTTATTCGCCTTTAAAATTATTTCTGCAGTTATCAAATATTAATTTTGCATACGTTGTAACTGTTTTCTAATCCTATGAAATCTTATCTCTAAGCCCCTTGTAATCTATATTCCTACCTTCAAACTTTCATATCAAGTTGAAAATTATTATCACCTTCGTTACTATGTGGAATTAATTAAACAAATAATAATTGTATCCATGTAAACTAACCTATATAAATGCGATTGTACAGCTTTTGAAAATGAAATCGCCGAAAAGATATCTTTGCTGAACTTTTTGTTCTTTTCAATCTAATATTTGTAACTAAGTTGTGAATTAATGGGGGGGGGGGGGGGAGGAAATACAACCTCAAGTTAAATGTGTTCGTTTAAATTTTTTCTCTTGTAGGGTTTTAATATTCTTGTCGAACGTGAATGGTTGCAGTTTGGACATAAATTTGCTGATCGAAGTGGACATCCTTCACTTTCATCAAATTTGAATGAACAAAGTCCAATATTTTTACAATGGCTTGATTGTGTACATCAGATACGCAGGCAATTTCCCCATTGTTTTGAATTTAATGAATCATATCTGGTAGGTGTTTCTTCATAATTTATTTATAATTCTTGATATACCTAGATATATCTAGTAGGTTTTGTTGATCACTTCTATTTATATCTGATCTATTTTTAATTCTAGCTCCACTGACTATTTCTTTGTATAATAATGGTGGTTAACATTTGGATTGTTTTTGTCAGTACTAAGGGCTTACGCTGATTTGTCACAGAATACTGACCAATATAGTTTTACTCGGTGGAGATATCACTCATTCATTGATTTAGGCACCCAACTTCAAACAGACGGGTGCCGAGTTGTAATCCTTATACACCTACTTCAACCTGGGCAAATGAGTAGTGTCATCACTCCCTACACGATATATGTGACTTAAAACCCAATACCAGCTAACTAGGTTCCAGCTGACTAACCGTATAATTTGAATTTTGACTAGATATGGCGGCAGTTACCAGAATGGAAGGTGGTTCAACTTCCCAGTATATTATGATTGAAAGTATTGAAAGTAACTGTGAACTGAATGTCAAGTGATTGTCACTTGACTGGCGACCTGTAGTCTCATAAGTTAGTGATGACATCTCAGACCTGTTCATCATTCTTGATTAGTTTAATATCTGGAAAGAGACAACATGGTTCTATTATGCGAAGTTCGACTAAACACAGGATTCTTCTGTATGTGAGTTGCTTGAGTAGTTCAGCAGTTAGAATGTTCGCCAACCACGCATGTAGTCCGCGGTCCGACTCACTCCTAAAGCTAGCTAGGCTGGTAGCAAGGCCGATAAAGAGGGGCGGTTGGGTCTGAGGCCAGCAATGCTATCCAGTAAAGAGGAATGATAGCATTGTTACTCAAACTTCAAAGCTCAAGCTTGAAGCCTTATGTTCCACTAGGAATTCAAAGCAGCAAAATGGATAATAATAATAATCTGTTTTACAAAGCAATTTCATCACTTTGTGAGTAACCTACCATGCTTATCTCCAGTAATGCAAACATCAAATGTTACGCGCATTCTGGTTGAATTTCTTCAATGAAGCCTGTGTAGAGGGACATTATAGGTATTATTTATTCCATAACCTATTCCTATGTATATCTTATGTATATGAGTAATTGTCAGTATGCTTACTCGTATATGTTATTTATTGCATTGATGATGCCTGTAAACTGGAGTCCCTCATGTACCAAAACTGAGAATGTATCACTACTATTATTACTACCAAATAAGCATGTGTCAAAAAGAAAAACAGCTGTTACAAAAAAAAGAAACCATTTCAGTGGGAAATATCACCCTTCAAGTCGTCCTTTCTTCTCAACCTGGCAACATTTCAACACACTTCAGCTGAGAAACGTAAATGCTCGCAACCAAACACACATGTAAAGAATGCATCTCAGTCAGACTAGACCAATACGTCATCTATGCGGTTCACAGTTTTCTGCACTTTAGACAAAATGTTACACAATTTTATTAGAAATTAATTCTGTTCAAGGATTTTATTGGGGGAAATTTTAACGATAAAAAATTATCACTATGCTACGACGGGGGGGTTTGATATGACAACATGCCGTTTACATGCAGTCATGCACTATTTTAATCCCCCTCTTAAATAGCTTTTTCAGTTCAAAGTGTTTTTTTGTGTGCTTTATCCATGTGTAACAAACTCCTCAAAAGTCATGTTAACTCTAAATTGTGAAGAATCATTATAATCTTGGATTTTTCGTCGTTTATCTTTTTACATTTTACAGCTAAAACTTGGTTTACATATTTGTTCAAATCTGTTTGGTACATTTCTTTGCAATTCTGAACAAGAACGACAAAAAGCTTCAGTCGCCTCTCGAACATGTTCTTTGTGGGGCTTACTTTCACCGAAATATAATTGGACTATTGTGAATTACTTTTATGAACCAGAAGCTGAAGTTAGTTTTGTCCACTTTTGTTTTCCTCTTAGAAAGCAATTTCAAGTATTTAACACTGACTAGAAAACTGTTCTTTTAAGTGCTGTGTCTCTGTGTATTTTATTTTTCTCTGTTATAGCTATTTTGTTGAATCGTAATTATAGAGTATCAGCAGACTCTCATAGTAGTGATACAACTACAAGTCAAAATGCATGAGATCTCGGCTTAATTAGTCTACTGTCAGCAATTAAACAGGTTTCGAACCGTGTCCACTTTTGATTGATAGTGAACGCTGTACCTAGAAACGAGTTTAACAGCTGAGTAGGTTCTAGAAAGAGTAGTTCTTAGCCTTGTGTCACAATCGTATTATCCATATACTGGGTACAAGTACTGGTATTTTCATTGTGAATTTTATTCGGTTCCTTCCGAAATCTCCAATGGATATATCAGGAATAGTAGATCTTAGAGAAACTCCCGTGCCTACTACATCTGTATGCCTATAGAGTACATTATTGAAACGAAATGGGACGTAACTCTGTCAGCATAGACATGCGCAGTAAGTTATTTGCGAAATCTGCTGTGAAGAAAGGTATCTCTGCTTTCAGCATCAACGAGTGAAATACTTAGGCTTTTTACAGATCTCTTCAATCATATTATTCAATTGATAGAGTTCCCTGGTAGTGCTCTGTCAGGCAACAAGTTTTTATCTCTAAGGTTTATCTTTAGATTTATACTCGATTTCTTGTTGACACTATGCGTACTAATTGTATAATCCACTCTGTATGCGTTTGTGAAATTTTGTTCGACGTGCTTTATAAGTTAAGGGATTCAAAGTTGTACTAAATGCAACTTTTATATTCAAACTTTTGACCCAAGTGATGAAAATGCTTTGATATTCGTATGCTACCTAGTAAAGGGTAGAATACTTTAGACACTGTAGTATTTACTACTGTTTGCTGCCTACAAAGTCACCTAGTGCATCTAAAAAACACCAGGTATACAAAGAATTTTACGGTCATTCATTAAATCTAATCTTTCATAATTCTCATTGAGTTATACAAAAATTTCCCCAGGCAACTAATGCTTGAACTTGTTGACCATTATCGTGTTTCATTTTCTTTGCGTCTATTTTGGTCTTCTAAAAAAGACACATGTGTTCAAGGTTGAGAGGAACTTAAAGTTAGTATAGATTTATCTATACATGAAACCTCCTGGTGTTAATAACACTTTCCAGAATTCTTTTAAGGTATATTTGATTATCAGTCGTTCTTATTAGGGAATTTTCATGCATTTATTCCCCTTGATGAATTTGAATAAAGCAAGAACAACAGTCTGTCTGTCTGGATTCAACATAAAACTTGGCACCGAAGTGCACCAGTTCGAGTTGCCACGTTCCAAATAGCACACAAAAGTAGACAAGAAGATGAGTGAAGAGAATCAATAGAGTTTGACAAGTATACGAGTGAAACAGAATGGGTAATGGTAGAGAGGAATATGAAGGATTACAGAGACTGAATACATCTGCGCTGGCCATTGACAACGATTTTGAGCCATGTCACAGTGGTTTGTGCAGAATAATACGGTACCATCGTTTATTGCGTTGGCTTCTCATCAGCTACTTACAGCCTAAATAAATTATGAGGTTTACGTACAGAAAGGTTTTAACATGCAAATTTTACATGTTGTCAGTTGACAAAAAGTTCCATAATCAGTGAACAGTGCTCAGAAAATTGCGCTTGTATAGTTTCTACATAGGCAGTTCAAGTTTAAACACAATAAATGTATGCCTACACTGGTAAAGGAGTTACGTATTAAAGATGAGATGTGCGTTAGATGCATAGTGACTAATAAGTTGGGTAACAATGTACTGAGTTAAACTCAAATCATAGAAACAAGAGACAAGCAAATTAAAGATTATAAAAGGAGGGTGAGGTTAAAGACAAAGATTACGTAATTAGATGAGAGAAAAAACACATCCAGTTACCAAGCCAAGGAAAGACTAATAACTGCTTCTTTCTGAACACATAAATCTGGTTTCAAGCGTTTGATAGAAATTGCTTCGGCAAACTTGAGGAGAATCGAGGGTATCTATCGACTCATACCAAAGGCGTATATCCTTGCCATTATCTTGTATAAAAGTTCAGTTATCTAGTGGGTGCTATGCGATGCAATGATGTGACGAATGCTATTCACCAGATCTAAAACCATATAATAACAAATGTTCAGGAAGTGTTAATTCTTGTATCACGTATTAGTTTTCTTAAGTATTATTACTTAATTTGATTTCATGTTTGCTTAACTTCTCAACTGTAAAAGAAACAAATAATTTTTAGTTTTAATATTCCACTATATTTTTTAATTAGTGATTATTGGCTTATCGATTCATGATAATAATAACTTTACTACACCGTGGTCAGTCACCTTACTATTGGTTAATTAATGAAAAGAAATTAACTGTCACGTGTAAAACAATATGATTAAGTGCACGTGGTGGTCTGTGTGTGTGTATTTTAGAATAGCCTCTAGTGAACATACACTTCCATCTGTTTTTAAACAGTCAGTAGTGATCATTTATTTTTGAATGAATCATCTACTTTTTTCTGTTTTTGTATCTCACCCTTGTTGTGTAAACAGACTTCGTAGTTGATGTATATATATATATATATATATATATATATATATATATATATATATATATATATATATATATATATATACTATCTTATGTTTCTCTAAACCACATTTGATGTCTCATTAATCATCAATCAATTCGGTGGTTAAACTAAAACACCTACTAAGAATTTAGCTAATTTTACATCTGATAAGTTTTTTCTTGGGGTACCTGAAACAGAAGGAGAACTGGTGTTACTTGACCGCAGAACCAGTCACACACGGCCTGTTTGAGTTGGTTTTTAGAGTTGTTTCCGTATTGGTAAATTACCACCGGCTACGAACCACTTTAGGGATGTGAAATTTTTAAGTTTATCTTTCCTGACCACCCCGTCTCTAGAATGGGGAGGCAGCATAACTGCATATTGGGCATCTGAGGGAAACACCTTACTGCTGTTACATCCCAGTTCCTCAGCTGTATGACTTCGCCCACAGATGCCAAACGTAGTGTAAACGAATTACACTATGATGATAACTGCTTTTAGTCTAATCGTTGTCCTAGCAACTTTTGGGGAATGTTAGGAAATGCAGAAATATTGTTCCCGGCAAGTGTAGCTTGTTGTGTCACTTCGATATGCAAACCGGACCACCACGTCAGCGTAGCAGCTATCGGCTAGCACGTCCGATAGCAAAGTTGGATATAGACTCTCAACAAGGTCTTCAATTGAATTAGTGAAATAAGGACTACTGTATATGGTGTAGACTACCCATAACAAAATATAGATCCGTTTTGGATCTTGTTCAGTTTCTTTAGAGTCGTCATGTATTCTTCTGAAATATTTTTGTTTGACTATGAAGCTTTCAGTGCTTGGTGGTTAGAGGATTACTTCGTATAATTACATCACTTGCCCCCCCCCCATGAACTGAATACTCGTGTAGTCGGTGAACCAATCACACTGGAAGTCGTCATTTGCTTAAGGTGGTGTATTAACCCCAGCGGAAGATTAAAGGCTAAAAAGTATATCCAGTTTATCAAAACTTATAGTAATATTTAATTGCCCAAACCGATTTCAACCCAAGAAGCATTGATTAACAGTCGTGCGTTTGTGTCAGTAAGCCACTGACTTGCCGACATGACAAGCCATGGAAAATTGGTTGGGTTTTATCTGACACGCAATCCACATACTGTTTATTATCTAAGATTACGATGGATGTCTACATTTCTATTAGAGTTGGGAGTTGTACTAAGTGATAAATTGTGAAATATGAATGGACGAACTAGTAGCAGAGTGACACCAATTTTATACGTATATCTTTGTATTGTGACTTATCTTAACGAGAATAGATAACCGACATGTATTCCTTGATCTCTGATTAAATTTTAAATGGTATGAAAATAAGCACGTTTGTAGCAAAATCTCAAGAAACAGTAACAAAAATACATGTGTTACGTATGCCAAGTCATCGCCTCCCTCGACGAGCTATGTTAGCGGATATAGGGTCAGGCTGGAAAAAAGCTAGCGGCGGTCAAACAAAAACTTGGCATCAATCAATGAAATCCACAACAGTTGGTCTAAGCCACGTAGGAAGGTGTAGACTTCCAGGCTGGGGTCCCCGGGACGGTAAAAATCTATGGTTGGAAACAATTGGTGACATGGCTCAAAATCGTTCTCAGTGGCGCAGATGCATCCACTCCCTGTGACTTATGATCTCCAATGAAACTGTTTTGTTATTCTTTATTACTCCCTTGTCTCACACCTCTGCTCACTGTTTCTATTATGCTTTTCTTGTACTTTCTTCTCTTGCTTCGCGTGCTACACGGAATGTGGCGACTTGAACTTCCGCACATTTGTGCAAAGTTCTATGTTGAAAACACAGACAGAACAAAAATACAGCCTACTCTGTATACTTCAATAATTTATGTCATTGACATTGAATCCGATGCATAGAACTCAGGTCTCAGTCATATGATTATACACTATTCGTTCTAAGGCATTGGTCAACCTTGTATATGTTAATGACTAACTGGCTGGAACTAATGTTCTTATGAATCTTACAATGCTAGAAGAATTATTTGAATGACAGATTAGAGGTAGTTACCGCCACAGGATAAGTCGCTTAAACGTTAGTAGATATCTGAAGTCGTAGTTGCAGTATTGGCAAAGAGTGGTATAACAACAGGTATTTCCTTTGGTCAACCAGCAAGTAATTTTTGATGCTTTTATGCTTTTTGAAGGAGAGGTAGTAAGGATCTCCCTGAAGTTTTGCATCCTGACTTAAGTCTCAGTGGTACTCAGAGGACAGTAGGATCTGTACTAGTAAAACTTCACTTTCAAACCGGTTGTATGTGGCCAGCCTCAACCATCTGTTTCTTTGGCTGTGTCGTCACGTAAAACCAATGATCAGCGTTCATTTAATCTCACTTGACCAACCTGTTGAATCTACAAATTCCTCGTGCAGTTATCACATTCTTTGGCTACCTTTTGTTGATTTGCTGATGGAAGCATGGCATGTACGGTAAAAGCGAAAAGCCGACTGATCTGTCAGATCGCATTAGTCTTTATGTTGTCCGACTGAATGGATTCTTAATTAAAAAAAGAAGTTATGGCGATACTCCTTGAGGCCTCTCAGTTTCCATTGACGAACTTGCCGACTGCATTTTGAACTAGGTAAGTAGTGAGTTTTATCAGAAGTCGATTTTCCCGTTAAAAACCACCGACTTAGGTGTATTTATCTAAGCAGTAGATTTTAATGATCAAGTAGAGTCAGCTTATTATTATTATTATTATATCCTTTAGTTCCTAGAAGAACATAGGGCTTCAGCTGCGCACCTCCATTGCCTTCGGTTTTCTGACAACTTTTTCACCCTGCTCCAGGTCTGTCTACATGCTTTCATCTCTTCCTCGCATGACCTCCTCCAAGTCACCCTTGGACGACCAACTCGCCGCCTCCCTTTCGCGTTCCACTCGAGGGCTTGTCTAGTGATGTCACTTGATGGTTTCCTCAGCGTATGGCCAATCCATCTCCATTTCTTTCTGCCTATTTGTTTCACAATCGGTTCCTGATTGGTTCGCTCCCAGAGATCCCTGTTGCTGATCTTTTCTGGCCATCTGATCTTGAGTATTGAGCGGAGACAGCTGTTAATGAAGGTCTGTAGTTTGTTTGAGGTGCTCTTTATGACTCGCCAAGTCTCTGATCCGTATAGTAGCACTGACTTCACATTGGAGTTGAAAATCCGGATCTTATTTTTGATGCTGAGTGCTGTTGACCTCCACACAGATTTGAGAGTAATGAAAGCTTGTCTTGCTTTTCCGATTCTGGCTTTGATGTCCTCGTCAGTTCCGCCTGTAGTTGAGACGATGCTTCCCAGGTAGGTGAAGGAGGTTGTTTCTTTCAGGTTCTTCCCACTTATGCTGATTGTTGTCTGTTGTTGTTGTTGTTGCTGTTGGCTAGGAATCTTCATCATCTCTGTTTTATCTATGTTCAGAGTCAGCTTAGTCAGCTCAAAAACCCTGGAGATTAGTCACTCAGATTCGGATGTTAAATATAAGGGAAAACATTGTTTTACCCGGTAACCATCGTCATTAGGCCAACGATGGACACATAGAATACGTTTTTATAAGTCATTGATATCAAGGGTAGGTAAAACACTGTCTCTCCACATGGCTGTGCTTACTGCAGGAAAATTTTTCTCACTGAGATAAAAACAAGTTGTTTAGTGGTTTGATTTTGACTAGTTGCAGAAGTCATATATATATATATATATATATATATATATATATATATATATAACTCGAGTTTTGTCCAAGAGGGTGCAAGAACACTATCCTGCGTGGCTACGAAAAGGTGGAAGTGGAGTAATAAGAAGCGCGATCATTGAACATCTGGTCGATAATGATCACCGTATCTCTATAGCCTCGGCCTTTAAAGTCATCTACAAGGCAAAGAGTAATTTACCCAAATCCCTACGTACCCGACTCATCCGTATTGCTTGAAGCTTTGGCTATCGAAACAGAAAAGCCAGATCTCTGTTTACAAAAAGTGGCCGTTCAACCCCTCCAGCTTTCATGGTCTTAATCCCTCTATGCTAAAATATGGTAATCCCCAATCATATTTTAGTTCTACCAATTTTTCATCTTGTCTACTCAATTTGTATACTCTTCCTTATTAAGTCAATTGTTATTATTACTATTCTCACTTGGAACTGTCCCCGGTATTATTTCACTTGCTCCACTTGTCATTCTCAATCAATTTTTTTTACAATGATAAATTCTGTGCTATTAAATTTCACACAATGTTACATAACGTCTTGTTTTATTCGATTTGTCTACTAATCGTATAACTGCACACCCTTTTTCAAGTTCTATCCATCCTATGAATTATTCTATGTATGACATTAATTTGCTTTGCCACTTGACATTGAACTATGATTATAATCACAAACATCTTAGTTTTAATTGAACTTCATATCATTATTATTATTTTATGCATTCACGCCTAAGATTCAATTCCCTCACCGGATATAACTTCTTAAAAAAACCATATATATATATATATATATATATATATATATATATATATATATATATATATATATGGCGTTAGAATACTATTTCGTTTTTTTGTTTGAATGTTCAATCTACGTATTTTTATGTTTGGTTCATCTACAGCATCTTCTTCAACCTGATTGTCAAATTCGTTCTTTGAGTCTTTGGAACACATTTTATGGGATAGCTCTATCTACAAACAAAACAAATTCTGTCAATCTCCCTCAAAGTTCATCTGAAACAGTCTCCCATGACAGTACTTCATTCTCAAATTCTAATTCTTTTGTATCCCATACAAAGCATACATCTTTGTCATCCATTAAACCAACAGTAATTAAAACTAACTCTATCTCAAATCTTAACTGTGAACAGTTGTCACAGTCTACAGGAAATACTCTAAATGATAATCAACCGTCTGAATCACCTAAAGTGTTAATCCCAGATGTAAAAATTGACGCATCTGAAGAGTTACAGTCAGTGACTATGAACACAGACTCGTTTATTAAAGGTACTACCTCTGAAAGAAATTCACGCCGGCGTTCTCTTAATGATTTAACTAGCCAGTTAGATCATGCATCAGTTAAACAACAATTATCAAATCGAGTGTCACCGACTGCAGTGAAATCATCGAATCATAATTTTTATAACAATAATAATAATAATTTATCCAAAGGTAAAAGCAGTCCTGAACCGGCTATACTTCGTCTTTCCTCTTTCTCTGATGATACTGGTATATGTTCTAGCTTTTCTAAAACATATCTGAGATCGTCATTATCATCATTTAGTAATGGTGATGGTGTTTTTTCTGGAGATCCAAATAATAAATGTATATCTCCTGAATCCAATGGACAATTAACAATGAGTACATGTACGTGTGTCAATCAATATCAGCAACAAGAATGTGTACTCTCACCAGTTGAGAATACAGATGTATTCACTGCCGATGAACAATTGGAGCAAAATGATTTCTCTTTCAATAATGATAACAATGACAATACTAACAACAATGATAGTAACAACCAATCATCAGGTCGGTTATTTTATACCCAGTTCAATCATTGTTCACAAAATTGTCAATTTTATGGAAAATGTTCACCATTATCCATTTCATCCAGAAATTTTGAGTTCAATGAATTTGATGATTCTAATATTAATGATAGTACGAATAGTGGATCAAATAGTAAGATGCCATGCAATTTTCATCTTGATGGTGCACATGTCAATAGCTTTGTTTATAATAGCCCACGATGGTCAGTTACTACTCGTGGAAGTAATGCAAGTCTGTATTTTTTGTCAGATATGAAACAGACATCTGCTGAACAGATTAAACCAGTTCCTACTCAACCGATGGATATTAAGACGTCTTATAAATCGGATAATCATAATTTAATGCATACTGCAGATAGTATATGTCCTAATGATTTTATAGTCCATGTAAGTCATTCATTCACTCATTCTTTCATTTATACAAATGTGCGTTTTTGACAATTGACTTGACTGGAAGAGATTCCATTACAACCAGCCTCACTAGGCGATTATATGGCATATTCCTTTTTTTTAAGTGCTGCTACCTGATTTATCTAGTGGGTATTAGTGTGTTTCGATGAATACGCCAAAATATACCAACATGATTTCATGAAAATCCCTAAGTATACGTTTAACTTTTGAACTTATTAATTTCTTTAATCCATTAAAATGGACAGATATCAGAATCAGGTAAGATTTTCTGATAAAAGTGCAGCTAATGTAACGCAGTTCAAGAATATAATGCCACCGATAATACGTGCGCGAGAAAAAAATTTCTCAATGCGAAATTTCATTTAAAAAGCATCTTAAAGGTGTAACTTGTCATTAAACCACTATATCAACGGACTAAGACGCTACAATTATCAGAGATATGCAATGAAGCCTCTCAGCCTCACCACCGATCATTTGATGCTTCATTGGGACTCGTGGGCAATAAGCCATGAAAACAAGACTCTTTTTTAAGTGTGGACATGAGTATATTAATCGGATATATACTATTTAACAGTTAATGTGAAATAGACGTAATGGCGGTAATCGTTTCTATTTGTCTAAAGGTGTTACAATGTTGTGTAACTGTTGAAGGAAGGTCAAAAGCGTAAAAAAGATGTTGATCAGCATTCTCTACTCCAACGCATACAGATGTTTTAGTTCTTTAGATAAACTGCCGGATAAAATAACAGCTGCTAACGATATTCTGCAGCAGTGTATCTCTGGTACCATTTTTATCGAAAATTTCCTACAAACTAATTGGTGAAATTGATTCCTCTAACTTCAGGCTAGTTGAAGTTTTGCTCAGTGAGTATCCAATTGTTCTAGTTAGTATAAGAGAAGGTTGTTTCAAATGTAACCAAACGTAAGGTTATGTTTCGACGCTAGTAGTTTAAGCTAACTCCTCATAATATGAGGTTGTTGGACGAAAATAGTTGCATTCTGTGACCACGACACCTAATTGTTGTTGAGTAATAAAATGCTTAATGGTGAAAGATCACAGCCAGGTTCCACATTCACATTTTGACCATTGCTGATACTAGTAAAGTAACTAATGGTAGTTGTACGGAATAGTAGCTTTTCTCTCTGTTACTCAACAGTTGGCAAATATGGTCATTGAGATTACATGTGACAAGCCAGCTTGTTTTCGAACAAGTTTCTGTTTTTTGCGCCACACAAGTTGTGGCGCATCTTTCTTGGTGCCATATTGTACCAAGTTTTTTGCGTTTAAATAAATAATAAATTTGCGAATTGCTCACATATGTTGAATGTACAATATGAGTGAATTTTCAGTTATAAACTGTTTATCGTACTACTTTTTACATGCATTTTTCTATCAGGCGTATAATTTCAGCATAGAGTAAATATATTACAAAGATTTCTCAACCTTATCATGTCTTATAAGTTTCACTAAGTTGAAATAGCATATAAGGTCTAAAGAGTTTGACGTCATTTGATGTTTTAGTCACATTTGCAATGCGTTAACAAGATGAGACTATGTGACGCCCTTATCACATTTCAGATGATTACTGAAGTACTGATCGGCTTCGTTTCAAGAATATTGTTTGAATGAATCAGAGCCTTATCAATAACAATCATAATAGTCAGTAAAAAAACACCACTGGTCACCACTTATTTTTGATGTGATGTTTTCGGTGTTATTTAAGCAGTAATTTATGTATATGATAGGTTAACCTAATATGTAACCATACTCTACCATTGTGTTCAAATTCTATTCTTACGTTTATGTTATTCTTGTTGGATAGAGTCTACCTGAAAATGATGAGGTGCTTGTCAATGGAACTGAATCGATAACATGTGATTTGGATAATTCACCCAATGAAAACAATGATTTAAATTTTTCCACACCTTTAGGCGAATCTTTATCTGGTCAGATACCAATGAATGCAGCTAATCCTTCTACTTTCAGTAATAACAGAGATGCTCAGAATTGGAAAGATATTCATGGTGCTGTATGCAAAATGGATGAAGTCAATTCAGATGATGTATTTACAACAAAATTTAGTGAATTACTTATTCCTGAAGATTTGGTAAGATTTTTTTTTTCATTCACGTTCCCCAGTGGAACATAGGGCTTCAAACTAGTGACCTGAAATTTCTGTAGCAGTGTTTATTTTAAATGATGCGGTTGCTAGCCTCATGCCCAACCCTTTTTCTTTACCAGCATCATTTCTGGCTTAGCGAGGTAAAGGAGTGCGTCGGCTGGGAATCGAACCCGGACCATGTGCATGGTCGGTGAGCGTGCTAACCGCCGTGCCACTGACGCACGGTAAGATATTGACTGAAAACTACTTTTGTTTTATTAATTTGTCATAGATGTAATCTATCTTTTTTGATAAAATTCATATTTTATCTTCGGTGATTCAATGGTAGAATAATCATCAACCACATACACTGTCCGAGTTCAGTTCCCCAGCCAATGTACTCGTGAATCTCGCTTAACTGGTAAAGGGTGTTGGTTGAGAGTGATGCCTACCTAGCAACTTCACTCCTGTAGAAAAGGCACCATTGCTACTGAAATTTCAGAGTTCAATCTTGAAGACCACTTGTTCCATTTGGAACGCAAAGGAATGAAAGTGAAACGCTTAGTCTAGTGATCAGTGCAATTAAAGATAATCGTACTTGTAACTATGTGGGACTAATGGCGTTATTTGTACTCGAGTTACTATTAGGGTTAATCATTATTAAAACTAAGTGTAACATCCGATCGATCCAGTTGTTCACTTCTATTCATGCACATTTCATGTGTGTATGTATGTTTTGTTTCAACAACCACTTATCTTTAAATATAAAATATTTTTTGTATAACTCCTAATGTAAAAATTCGTGTCCAGTAAATACTATGCCAAGTATTGATTTTATTTATTTTTCAAAGAACATTCTGTGTAAATTAAGTTTTTTTTGTTGTCAAAGGATTAAATTAGTTTCATTGTTATTGATTTTGTTAGATCACAAGGTAGCGAAAAAGGCTGTATTATCTCAAAGTGCGTTTAAATAATAAAGTCGATTGCATATATAAGACAATACACAAGGGAAAGTGAATTGTAAGCGTTAATTTCCGTAGGAAGATATCAGTAGAGTGTATTGTACTTCTGTCTTTTTTGTAGTGTATACTTGATACACCTATTGAAGCGTTATGAAATTACATTGCCTTGGTTATTGTTCTATTGATTTTCCAAACATCACTGTGATGTTCTATTGGTTTATATTCATTGCATTTTATTATTTCTTTTACTCTAGTATTATACAATCTGAAAATCTGATTTATTTAATGCATAGGTGAATTGCGGTATTTTCCTTTTCCATTAATCTCGAAGAATTTCCTCTTATAAGATATTTCACAAGCATCTTATCTAGGAATTTATCTACAAGTACATTGCTAAAGTTTTTTGGCATCATCTTTCTTTCGCTAGTAATCACATCTCTTCATTATCAGGCCTCTTTGTGTATTGATCTTTTTCCTCTCTGGTTTTCCGTTCTGGACTACACCGATGCTTAGCTTAAAGATAGGGAGCGAGTGTTGATCACTTCACTTATTTGAGAAGTCGCATCAGCCCCAGCGGGCTGGGCGCTGACGAAAATCTCAGCACGGATACAAAAGGCTCGTGTGGCATATACCAACCTGCATCATCTCTGGCTTAGACGTGGTATCCGACTGTAGAACAAAGGACTTGTGTACTGCTCGGCACTTTGCCCTGTCCTCCTTTATGGCTGTGAAACGTGGCCATTGAAAGTGTCTGCAACTTTGTACTAGATAAGTTTATTTTAACTATCAAACAGTGATTCAGTACCAACAACATTTGTTAATACTGCATCACAGTTCCCAAGTTCTACACTTACATAAGTGTCTGCGTTTTGTCTCCCGTGTTGGGTGAGTAATATCGAGGTTAGGTGTAGTGTGTTAGGTAAGGAGGGAAAGTAAATCAATGAGGCTGTGAAAGTAAATCGATTGAGATGACTAGGACATGTGTTACGCATTCCTAGCCATCGCCTTCCTCGACGAGTAATGTTAGCTGACATAGGCTCAGGTTGGAAAAGAATCAGTTGCTATCAAACGAAAATACGTGTAATCAGTCTATAAAAGCTTTGACAGTGGGTTTGGGCCATGTAGGAAGGTGTAGGTGTAGACTGCCTCATTGGGGTCGTCGGCATTCTAGGGACCAGTGACTGTAGACAATCAGTGATATGACTGATAACCGTTTTCAGTTGCTCAGATGCATTCACAACCTCTGTGATCTACCATATCCTTCATGATTCTGCTTATTATCATTCTTTTAAGTTTCTTTTATTTCACTCTTTTGTCTTCCTTTGCGTGCTTCATGGAGAGTAGTAACTCAAACTGCTGGTCTTCTATGCAAAGTTCTGTGTTGAAGTCAGTCGGTTAGGTTTTCTCTATTTGTATTATTGTTTGTAATTGTTTTAAATCTAGTTCCGTTTACTGTTTTCTCTTCATGCTTTATATAGCTTAATTGGAGAAGTAAATATTTCCGATCTGAATACTTCCCAAACATCCCATCTCAATCGTCATCATCATCATCATACTACTGTGGTGAAAGAAATTCATGCTCTGACCAAATGTTGGACAGTACTGCTACAACAACAACAGTAACTACTACTAACAACACTACCACTACTATTCATCAAAACAATAAAAGCTTGAAGTCTGGTGCATCTTTTGATTTAAAAACTTATTCTACACAAGTTAATCCTAAAGTTTCCTTACCTGAATTCACGCATATAATGAACAATGAGATAGATATCAATCATCGGCCAACATCAGCTCCAATCAGTCCAACTCTCTGTCCTGTAACCTATTTTTCTTCACCTACATTGCATAAGAATATATCACCGTTAAATACAACTGTACGAAATTTATTCACTTATCAAAAACCATTGGATAATGTTAATTCATTGGATGAATTGCATAAAAAGCCTTTATCTTCTGCATTGGTAGGTTTTAGCTTTCCAATGTATCTTTTCAACTAATTATTGAGTTATCATTGTTGTTTGTTAATCTCCTGGGGAGAAAATCACTGTCCCAAGCTTTTCGGGTAGATAACAGTTCAAATTGATTTTGAATAGTCGTTGATTATTCTTCCAGTTTGTTAGAAGGGATAATAAGATCTTTCTATGATAGTCACAGGAGTATTGACTTTATTAACTCCTAAGGTCCTTTGTTTTCCTGCGGTGGCTAAGTAGGGAGCAGCAATAATAAAACTGAGAAAACCAGGTAGGTTTCAGGGCTGAATAATGGTTCATTGTTCATATCGTCACCCTTCAACAGCTTCGGGAACACTGGCATCCAATACACTTGTCACATTTCTTAATCTGAAAATATTGTCCAATTCCGTTGATCGATAGCTTCTTTGTGAAATTTCGTTTTCCTCCTGAAAGAATGTTGTTTATCTTCTAGCTGTTTGGAATATTACTATGTTTCTGTGTGTATGTGTTGTGTTTCGAAATTAGTCACCTAGTGTTAGTTAAATGTGTAATAGGACTTCACTCACACAGTTAAATTGGACAGAATATACATGTATCCGTATCGCGAAGATACACAAAGCTTTTGAATTTGTCTTATGCAAAACAGATATGATTCTGTGGTTATTGGTAGATTTATTTTCTGGATTTACACGTGTATAATTCTTTAGAATCTTGTGTTCGTATATTAATTACAAAGTAAGAATTAGACAAACCGAATTTCTGAAACAAGTTTATCTCTGCCTACACTCAGATCGTTATGACTGGATGATGATTATGTTATATCTGGAACTATTCAAAGGTATGCTTTTAACCTACAAACATTTAAGCTAATGAGATACATTATTAGTGCTTCGGTGGTACAGTGGTTAGGACTCTTGCCCCGACCATGCACATGGTCCGAGGTTCGATCCCCTGCCGACGCACACCCGATATCTAAGGTCAGCCTGCAAAATATGGGCTACCAATATCACATGCTGAAAATTCCATACTTGTACCGAAAATACGGTGTGGCATCAAGCTGTTATCAAAATAAAATATTTTGCAGTTGTTCTCCACTGTGGATATGATAAAAGTGGGAAAACGTAAAAACAAAAAAGCAATTTTGATGCTAGATTTCGACTGCAACAACGCTTTGAGACTATGAGGGTGGTATGCCGACCCTCAGGTTACTATCGTCCATACGTTTGTACACGAAACGGATTGTTTGTGTCAACAGGCACGCTGGTAAATAGGGACTCTATATCCACTGATAACATACATTTCCCAGTGATATTGAAATCTTTCACAAGATAAGCGATTTCGAAAGTACCAAGGATTGTCTCTTTATACGCTCTAGAAATCGGGGAAGTTACTTAGCAGTTGGATGGTAAGATTACTCAGAATTGTTTAAAAGGGTAGACTAGCTTTGTGCACTGTCGGGGAATTACTGATCCCGTCGGTACCTAACTCCCTAAAAATATTCTGTGCACAATAGTCCTAAGGCTGATATTCTCTAACTGTACAGTGCTTCAAAGTAATTTAAAGGACAAACTCTCGAATATCAGCTCACCACTCTGCTTATATCAGTTCCCTTACTCCTGTTGATCTGGTTATGTAACTATTTTTAATAATTCATTTTTATACCATACTGAGGTAGTATGAAGAGTTCTCGTGTGATGACTTTACGATAAGAGATCTCTTTGCTGACTCACTTATTCGTAATTACATCGCCTGGAACTATGTCATACCTTGAAGAAATCTAAGTTGCTATTGATGGTAAGTGGAGGTCAATCGTATCCTCTAGTCGTTTGAAAATCTTGATGAAACAAAGTCGAAAATTGCATTCTCGAAGATTGCATTGTGATCTTCTTCCTTGACGCGCTATGTTAGCTGACATAGGATTAGTGTGGGAAAGAGTCACTGGTGGTCAAACCGACACTCGTTTTCAGTCTATGAAATCTTTGATAGTGGGTTCCAGCCACTTAGGGAGGTGTAGGTGTAGACTGCCTGATTGGCGTCTTCTGGATTCTAAGGACCAATGGCTGAAGACAGTTGGTGATATGGCTCAAAATTGTTCTCAATGGAGTGGAGGGGTTCATTTTCGGTGATCTGCCGTATCGCTTAAAATCTTATTGTTTGTCCTTCACATTTCTGCATATTATCGTTATTTCGAATCCCTTTGCTTTTCTCTATTGTCTTCCTTTGCGTGCTTCATGGACTGCTGAACTTCTATGCAAAGTTCTATGTTTAAGCCAGTCAATCAGCATTACGAATCGTGACATACTGTTCTATAACCTTCGAGTTTTTATCCATTTTCATTGTTTCCTGTTTGTCATTTTTGTTGACTTTCTATACTGTGATACTCACGTTTACAATGTATAGAGTGTGTAAGGACAATTGCAGAATTTGAATGCACGTTTAACATAATGCCACTATAATGCATTTAATTCACTCGTATTAAATTACATTTAAAAAAAATTATTTATAATCAAAGCAAATTACCAATTAGAATAATCATTATATTTCATTCTTCCTGTGAAGTAAGTGATCAGTGTACTGTCTTAAATATGGAATAAAAACAAATTAGTTCTTTTTTATCGATCAGTATATCCTGAAATTCAATTGCACTACTGCCTAATCAGATGATTCAATGTCACACTGACTCTATCTATCATTGGTAATATAATTATACTTACTATATTATGTCGATTGAGTAGTTTCCAACTAGGTAGAAAGAAGTATTTCACTTAAAGAGGGAATATTTTCAAGCAATTACTGTCCTTTCTCTCCCTCTCTCTCGTATATATATATATATATATATATATATATATATATATATATATATATGCGCATAAATCTCTGTTATCTGGTTTTTAAAGATAACATTTATCACTTTTTTGATCTTATTTAATGAAATATTACGCAAGAACGTGTGTCACGTGGATTGGCTTTTGAAACATTATATTAATTGTTTTATTTTTTTATGACAATTTGTGTTAGTGTTACCCTAAGCATTGGTTATTTTTGTTTAAATCGTGCATGTATATTTCTAATGATCACCTCGAACCGGGAGCCAAATCGCTAAGTTTGCACCTAGAAATCCGGTTTTCATGTGGTTGTGTTCTCTGAGCTGGATACTTAATTTGCGAAGCTTTCATCGTCCTACTAGGTGACATCTTCAGCTCATACTTCAATTTGAAGTGAGCTTTTAGATTTCTCCATGAGTTTATTAATCATCCCGTGATAATCACGTCCAAGGTCACCGGGCAGATGATTAATAAACTCGTGGAGAAATCTAAAAGCTCATTTCAAATTGAAGTGTGAGCTGAAGATGTCACCTAGTAGAGCGATGAAAGCATCGCAAATTAAGTATCCAGCTCAGAGAACACAACCACACCAAAATCATCCACCTGAGCTAGAAATCTTCTGTATCATATCTAAAAATCCGGTTTCATGACTGTGAGGAAATAATAATTGCAAGTGACAATGTATCAATGGTTCAGTGGTAGACTGTTTACTAGTGAACCCTACGTGGGCGATTCAAGTTCGGCTCATGGTTGGCACTTCAGTTCGCCTAAACTTCGCCTGAGTAACTAGCCGATCGATACTAAGTCGGGTAGAAAACCGCCATGACTAACAGAAACTCCAAAAGCTCGTAGCTATTTATGTGTTCCCCTAGGAACTCAAAGAAATGAAGCAAAAACACACATATGTCTACTCAGGTTGTCTCTTATTTCTTTTGTTTGTTTTTTTCCTCTTTTTAAATTCTGCAGATGAATACTTTATCATCCTTTTCTGATTGGGATGGCTTACCAATTCTAGTAGATCGGCTAACAGTACATGCTCATTCACAGTTATGCCAAGAACGTTATAATCGTAAAACACAGAAACAGTCTGTACTTTCTCTTGAAGCTAAATTAAAATATGCACAACTAGAAATTGCTCGATTGAATTCAGAAACAGAGAGATTAAAACAATTATTGGAAATGAATAAATCACGTGCTCATAATCATATTATTAATAATAATCATGAACAAGTAATGTCTGACACATTGGTTCTACTTAGTAATAACCATTCATCACCATCATCAGATCTATTGACGAATAAATTATTTGTCACTACCTCAATTGATGAAAATGTAAGTCTACGCAGTTTCTTTTTTGTCTTCTCTTTTTCGTGTTCTTGTTAATTTAATGTGATTGCGATAGGAAAGGTATATATATATATATATATATATATATATATATATATATAGAAGAGATATATTCGCCATACTTGGTATGAATATGTTAGGTTTGAGACTAAGAGAAACTTAGTATATACAGAATGCAGGGGAATGTGATATTGTTATTCAGGTCAAGATATAGAGTAGTTAACTTAGTGCTACTGTTTATTAATTCTGAGCTTTCTTAGTGAATTTTGTCTATCAGTTTCATTCGTCTTGTCTGTCTGTCTGTTTTCGACATAGAACTTTGCACAAATGTGCGGAAGTTCAAGTCGCCACATTCCGTGTAGCACGCGAAGCAAGAGAAGAAAGTACAAGAAAAGCATAATAGAAACAGTGAGCAGAGGTGTGAGACAAAGGAGTAATAACGAAGAACAAAACAGTTTCATTGGAGATCATAAGTCACAAGGAGTGGATGCATCTGCGCCACTGAGAACGGTTTTGAGCCATGTCACCAATTGTTTCCAACCATAGATTTTTACCGTCCCGAGGACCCCAGCCTGGAAGTCTACACCTTCCTACGTGGCTTAGACCAACTGTTGTGGATTTCATTGACTGATGCCAAGTTTTTGTTTGACCGCCGCTAGCTTTTTTCCAGCCTGACCCTATATCCGCTAACATTGCTCGTCGAGGGAGGCGATGGCTTGGCATACGTAACACATGTCCTAACCATCTCAGTCTTTGTAGCTTCACGACTTCGTCGATTGATTTCCCCTGTTTACCTAGAACTCTACGCCTAACCTCCATGTTGCTCACCTTATTATGCCACTTTACACGGGAAATAGAACGCAGGCACCTATGATCAAAGACAGCTAGTCTTTTCATGTCTTCCACTCTCAGTGGCCAGGTCTCACAACCATAAAGGAGGACGGAGCGGACTGATGAGCAGTACACCCGCCCTTTGGTCGATAGTCGAACATCTCGTCTACGCCAGAGTCGGCGTAAACTAACAAATGCGAAACGAGCCCCTTGTATTCGTGCTGAGATTTCGTCAGAGATCAGCCCGTTGGCACTGGCTGATGGTACTTCCCAAATAAGTGAAGCGGTCAACGTGCTCTACCACTTCACTTCCTATTTTTAAACTAGGCGTCGATGTAGTCCAGTCCTGTAACATCATCTTGCATTTGGCGGGAGCGAATCGCATGCCAAACATTCGTAGATTGCGGCTCAAGGTGTTTAGAAGACTCTGCATTTCGTCAGCGTCTTCGCCTAGAAGGACTATATCGTCTGCATATTCCAAGTCAACGAGATTATTCCCCGGTAGCAAGTCAATCCCTGAGTCGCTGAAGTCACCTAGGGTTAAGTCCATTAACACATCTATGATGAAGTTGAATAGAAAAGGAGATAATGGGCATCCTTGACGGACACCACTGGTCGTCATCAGTTCAGATGACAGCTCGCCGTAAGCCCTCACCTGGCTGTATGAGTACGAGTAGAGTGCCTTAATCAGTGCAATATATTTTCTTGGAATTCCCTTTACAGCCAAGCATCTCCAGAGAACTTCTCGATCGACAGAGTCGAAAGCTGCCTTTAGGTCAAGAAATATAATGACTGTTGGACGCCGGTAGGAATGGCTATGTTCTAGAATCTGTCGGAGGGTGAAGATATGATCAATACACCCTCTTCCTGGTCTAAAGCCTGCCTGGCTCTCTCGTGTTTGTGCTTCCCGAGCACCACTCAGTCTACGCATGATTATTGAGCCTAAGACTTTAGATACTATATTAGTCAAGCTAATCCCTCTGTGATTATCACAGGAAGACTTGTCTCCCTTCTTGTATATGGGGATAATCATTCGTCTTGTGAATCCCAAGGAGAACGTCTTCACTCATCCACACAACTGTGATCATCAGTCAAAGACGTCACTGATTTCTGCAGTTATGTCTTAGTCTAACTAACTTCTTTTTCTTCGCAATATGATATCACTTTGGTCTACAGTGTGCCTTGGTGTAGGTAGCAACTGGAACATGCAGTACACATCGTTGTGTGGTATTATCTTTGAAAGTGATAAAAATTTGAGAAAAACAATCAGCGCGCTTTATTTTTCTAGCTGACTTGTGATCAGTTGAAAGTATGTTTGATTACGATACAGTCCACCCGGTGGTTGTGTACTGCTGAAGAGTCCCAAACGAGGGCGAAACAGCTGTCCAGGTTCTCCAATGGTCCTCTAACCAATGTCAGCTCATGATGAAATCCTGTAACCAGTCCACCTGTATTTGTTCTTCTATTCACTGACTGATCGCTTTCATTTTTGCTGAATAGATCTTCAAAAACCTCAAAGTTGTAATGTGAATTGAAAATTTTCATCATATAGTTGATAGTTGATTCCGTATTATTGCAAAATCACAACGCTGTGGATACAGAAATAAAACACTTCATAAACAACAACAAGATGATGTAATTTATGTGAAATGTGCAGTTTAATCGCACAACACATTTCCGGTATTCTGATAACATACATACTTATCACATATATTTATATAAATGGCAACAGAACAGAAAAGATCACAATTAAAAAAAATCAATATAAGTCCAAATATTAACAGATCATGATCAGAAATAATAGGTATTTATTTATTACTATTTATTTAACCAAAAATATTTGGTACAATATGCCACCAAGAAAGATGTGCCAGATAATAATACAAACAACATGAATCAAAGTAAAAAAAATATAAGTAGATAACGGATAAAGAACTTCATCTGGAAGGAAAACAGTCATACTTAACAAGTTCAAACAGTATTCGTCAACTATCATCCGGAAGGGAAGAAAGAAGGAAATTGCAATACGTTCGCCACTGATTACGATTCTTGGGCATATCCGATAACGTTTCGAGCTATCTCCCAGACTTCAACCAGGGAGTCGTGACTCACCAACCGATGCTAGCCTAATGCAAATATCCTTCATCCTACGACAACACATCGTAGGTTGACCACCTCTCTGCTTTTTCCATCTCTTCCCAGGCCTAGCGAAGAGAAACACATACGGAAGTCTCTGGGATGACAAGCCATCGAAGTCGGTGTTTCCAGACGATGACACTCAACGAATGGTGATCTCCACTGTGTCGAAACACATGCCGCCAGACCTCAGAATTACTCACGTGACGATTATTTCTTACGCCTTTATTTTTATCATAGCCTTATTCCACACAGTATTTTGGTACAAGTATGGAATTTTCAGCATGTGATATCGGTAGCGCAAGTTTAGCGACCATTGATATCAGGTGTGTGTCGATCGGGAATCGAATCCCAGACCATTTGTATGGTTGGCGAGCATCCTAACCACTGTGCCACCGACGTACCGATGCCATCGAACTCAAGCAATCCTACGCAGACAGCGGTGATCGCTTACACAGAGTCGCCGTACATCCTCAGCTCAAAGAGACCAGGTTTTACAAGCGTAAAGCAAGACAGAATGCACCGAATCATTGTATACCCAAACTTTGACAGCCAGGCTAACGTCACGACGGCGCCAGAGGTGGCTCAAGTTAACGTATGCTACCCTAGCTTTCATGATACAATTGGAAACCTCATCCGTCAGTCCTCTGCCAGTACTCTCACAAACTTATCGACAACGTCAAGCGGTTTACCTGCAAGAGTGACTGCAGGTACAGGTTCCTGTCAATCTTGTAAAACTGATTTGCACTTAGACGGAGCAAAGCACATACTACAGAAATAATAGGTAGGAAAATAAGGTAAGAAAAAATAGGGAGTGAAAACACTATTAAGTAAAATGAACCTTGATTTTTAAAATTAAATTATCAAGGTAGGCTAAGAGTAATGACAAGTAATTCTAGAACACATAAAACAGATGTAAGCCTTTTTCATGTCTAAAGCTTCTATGGATTTAGATATTATGACCTGCCCCTCTATGATGTCACTTGCGATGGATAACGGTGGATATCTCTTCGCAGGATCAATTGTATCAGGTGATTTTATTCGTTGTTTCAGCCACTTGTCACGTAGCCCTAACTTGTAGAGATCGATCAGTCCTCTCTATTTGCGTGCGACCAAATACATATAAGTAGGATGTTACACTACTGTTTTGGATGCTGTGAAAGTTTGCAGGACAGCATGTAAATCTCGTTTTCACTATGAAAATGAATTTAGCAAATTAACAAAAAGAAAAGAAAACAGTACGAATAGTGTTTGAATAAGGACAGCGAAAATTGCGCTACAATGAAAGTGGAATGAAAACAATTATATGAAAGTAAAATTCAGCTTGGAGATTCTTGTAACCAGGATACAAGTAAAATTAGATTATAATTGCAATGATGTTTAAAGCTACAGATTTACTATTTGTTGTATTGTTGTTGTTATTATTATTATTGTTTTTTGTTTTCCTTCTTCTACAACATAATAGAAGTCTATCAATCATTCATAGGGTGTTACCATGCAACTATTTATGATATGATGTGATTTGTATTAGTAAATAAGGTTAAAACAATTTTCTTGTAGTTGATTCATTGAAATTATTCTGTACATATCGTACAAGTTTCGTGTATCTCATCCCTGCTGATTAGTGAAACAGGGGATCAGTGGCAATAAGTGAATACATCGATTTACCAAATACCATGTAATGAATACAACGTAAATTACACATAGTCGATTTGCCGTGTTATAGGAATTTAGCTAGATCTAGGGATGACTGGTCCTGCTGAATAAGTCGATCATCATTATAATGTGTTCACGTGTATGTAAGCACAAAATAGAGTGAGATAAGGTAAAAGTAAGTGTTATGTACTCGTCGCTAAATTATTGTTATGTACTGGTCGAGAATTTAATAGTCCTGACGCAAGAAGGCGGAAATCAGAAGACCACTATGTTTGCGATGATACTTCTATTTTCCAAACACAAGGAGAATGCAAAAGTGGTATCACACCAAAGTAAGTCACACAAGATTGTGTGAGCGAAATATATATGACCATCCAGACAAGTGTGTGAACAAATCAATAGACAGTCTTAACATGAATGGCTGATTATAATGGAGTGTCGATCCAAATATACATAGCAAAATATAGCAGACATGTCAACAACCACCATATATGGATATATGTCACCAAGCAACGGACTGTCAACAAACACTCATATTATATATAATATAAGGGGAATATACATTGTTAAAGGAGACAGGTTCATCAAAGTGAAATGGTCACAGACTAAGCGAGCAAACAGAAAGAGAGATCACCATACACATATATATATATATCAGTAAGTCATATAGTTAATTGGAGAGTGATAGAGAAAAAGGTTAATCATTGAATCAACAACAGACACGTGCAATAAGAATGAGGCAACGCCCCTGATTGAATATATGGAAAATTGCTATAAAAAGCAGGGGTGGCTGCAGTTGCGTGTGTGTGAATGCATTGATGCTGGGATAATGTACAGCAACAAACTGTACTCAGAACGTCCTACAATTATTAATACTGTATCACTGTGTGTGTTTGTGAGTGCGTATTATGTCAAAATAAACTTGAGTATGATTGGATTACACATAACTACAGTATCCAAATGCTACTCTTACAATAAGTGAATCTGGTAAATTCATGGATAATCCCCATCCAGGCATTAATGAAAAAAAAACATGTAGATCAGCGAAGAGACTCTTTCCGGCGAATTCATTTTCTTAGCTGTACAATCGCGAATATATACATGGGTTATTTTGTATATATGTGTACATCAAATTTGTCGAGCAAAATTACAATTGGTTATGGTTATTTTAACTAAACAGGTGAAGATTGGTAATACAAGTCAAAAAAAATAGGTGTTTATTAAATTAGGGTAGTAAAAAAGGTGATGAGTTGTCACAAGCAGTTGTTAAAAGGAGTTATGTAAATAAAATGAATAGTTTGGTGAGTGGGTTTTACTCATGATGCACATAGGAACAAAGTAGATAATACGAAATTACGTAAGAGTTGTAAATGAATACAAGAATTATAAGCAATTAAAGAACTGGCAAAGAAACAAAATTAAGTCATCAAATCAAATAAAAGTTGTTACCATGACAGTAGAAGTGGTTGAGTAATCCTCTTTTGTATACACAGCTCCGGTTTTTCTATGTGGATGGCCAGAGCTTCCGCGATACAAAGAAGACGAAACCGTATTGATAGGTTATTCTTGACTCTTTAGATTACTTTGAAGGGGCGTTTGTTGAAATGGAATGATCAGTGTTAACCAGGTGTTCAATTATCGCACTCCTTATTGCACCACTATTGCCTTTCCGCAACCATGCTGGATAGTGTTCTTGAATCCTCTTGGACAGGGTGGGCGTTGAACGACCGAAGTACCGGCTCCACAGCAGCAGGTGAACTGATATATGCACATAGAAGTGGTCAGATGCCGGGATCTTGTCCTTGAGGCTTCTGCAGATCAGTTGGCGACTGGAGAACACTATTCTTAGCGTTGCTGCAAAGAATGTTCTCAGCGACGATGTGATCCTTCTCTTGGGAATATCGCTCGTCAAATCTCCCTTGAAATCCAAGTTCATGTAGAGTTTCTTTTTAGGCGCAAGTGCAGTTTCATTTCTCCAAATTCTTCGTTTGATATTTTTGTTAATGAATCTTATTGGGTATCCATTTCGGATGAAGATTTCTCTTAGAATATCTAACTCTGTTTCCAGAACGTTGGGACTACAGATGCGTTGGATGCGGATGGCAAGTGATTTAATTAAATTCCGCTTTTGTTGAATGGGTACCCAGTTATAGAAGCTTGTTAGTTGACCAAGGGGAACCTAAGAAGATCGATCCATAGAAAACCTAAGTGGCATCAATAAAAATCTGCAGCCTTTTTGAAAGGTTTATAGTATCTCACACAGAAGAACTGACTGAAATGACTTTGGTGTTGAAAATCCGAATTTTATTCTTTACAGCAGATTTCCCAACTAATTTCAAAGTGATGGAGGAGTCTGCCTTGCATTTGCCTAGAAGTTTTGACAACTTCATTCGTCCTGTTGTTTGTAGTTGAAACGGTGTGCTGTCTAGGTAAAGTGTAGGAAGTGGACTTTTCCAAATTTATTCGGTTGATAGTGATTGGTGTTTGCTGATGTTGTTTGCTTGGTTATCTTCATCACCTTAAGTGAGTTCCCCCTCTGAAATAGTTGTATGACGAGTTCAACTGATAAGATTTATCTGTAGTATATAAAGTGGCGTTCATCAGCATAAAAACATCGAATAGCAGAGAGGTAAATTGGATATCAGAGAAGGTAAATGCTGCAGTGTTGTGGAGACGTGAAAGGAACACAAAGAAACACATTATTGAAGGAAGGGCGGAAGTAGCACAACATGAAGATCTGTGGATTGGAGATATAGTGTATATAATTTGACTGTATAGAGATATCAATTTTCAAATAAACATTCCTTTACCAAGTCTTTCATCTTCTGCCGTTTAAGTTAAACGTTGTGTAAATAAAAAAAACTATCCAACACTGGTTAGTATAAATAGTAATAATAAGGAGTTTTACGCGAGACGTCTTGATTCTTGTTTCTTCATCTCAATTTTGATGAATAAATATTTTTATTTTCTGATATTTATAGGTTGTTAGAGATGATAATTATCGATCAAGCCAATCTCGGTATACTTCTTCTCATGTATCAGATAATTTAGTTTCCAAAGCATCAAATGAACACTCTAATCTAGTTGAATCAACATTTTTGAATGCATCATCAGGGGAAGTGAATTCATTTGAATTAATTGATGCAGAGGATACTCAATATATTGTATGGCAACCAGATTGTATTGCTCATCAGTGTACACAATGTCGTATTGAATTCTCAGCAATACGACCTAAACATCATTGTCGGTAAGTCATATTGTCTGAAAACTATTCATTTGATATCATTTTCAATTACTATTATTATTTCTTAACTTCAAACATTTTTTTATTTGTGAAATTCCTTCTAAGTTCATATAATGACATAGTTAATTTGCCATAAGGGATCAATAGGTTGACTATAGAGATTGGGGTCCTTGTTCGGTGCATCGGTGGTCCAATGGTAGAGAATGCTCACTGACTGACCACTCATATTGCCTGAGTTCTATTCCCTGCAGATGCACTCCCTACCTTATGTTCCACTTGGAATGTAAATGAATGCGAAAATAAGTTTTTTTTGCTGTAAGCCACACAACTATATACCCCTATTTTGATGGTAATCCTTGTAACTCAATAACCGTATTACTGCCTCGCATTATTAGGGAGTTATTACACCTTACATACCCGGCCCTACGATCCACGCGATTATAAAAAAATTTGAAGTTTCAGTACTAGTGATTCCCTCTTTGTCGGGGTTATATGTGTGCCGGTCAGGGAATAAGTCCCAGATCATACACATGGTTGGCGAGCATCCTATATAGTTGGTGCATTGGCTAAAGGTAGATTTTGAAGCTACGAAACACCGTGTGTGTGTGTGTAGGGGGAGACTGAGACTTCAGGATTTCAGTCACACATTCCTGTTAACTACTAACGATACCGCCATTATTATTGATGAAT